GCTTTATTCACAGACATTGTCCATCCTGGCTCAAGCTCAGGCTGGTGACTTTCTGGGAAAGGCTGAGAACTAAAATATGATCCCATTTGGGATGTTATTCAAGCGAAAAAAAAGATTTCCAAGGCTGTTGGAGTTCGTTGGACAGCACCAGTCCCTGGAACAGACAATGTTCAGAGGAGCTGAGCCCAGGGGCTGTTTGTCAAGGCCAAGGCCTAAACAAGTGTTTCTCAGATCACAGTGTTGCCTGATAGGAGGGGGGGCTGGGGAGAGATTTTCCCACGTGTGTCCACTGATGTTTCATGAGATCTGAGATGCTCGGAACCCTTTTCCCACATTCCTTATACTTGTAAGGCTATTCCCCGTGTGCCGGTGCTGGTGGGTGATGAATGCAGATGGAAGAAGAGAATTTCCAGAGCTCAGAGCTGGGTGAGACGTAGACAAGAATCAGCATGGGATGATGCAGAGCTGTGTGTGCAGCTCGGAGTGCCCGAGCTGTTCCTGTCCAGCTCCGCTCTGGAATGCCGTTCTGGAAGTGGCACTTGGCCTGTCCCATCCGCCGGCACCCCGCTCTGTGGGCAGGGACACGGATCATGGTGTGCCCCCGCCACAGCCGGCTGGGGGCTCAGGAGGCCGTGCCAGAGCCCCCTTTCCCATTCCCCTCTGCCCCCCGGCTGCTGGATGCGGGGAATCCCCCAGAGCCCCCCAGAGAGGATCCGCTTCCCCCAGAGCCGCAGGGAGCCCCTCCCGATTACGGAAGGGAGCTGTGAAGGGACCCCCTTTGGGAACCCCTTTCCGCTGTGCCACCTCCCTTCATCTTCCCTGTGCGCTCCGTCCCCCCGAATCCCAGCTCTCCCCATCTCGGCTCGGGGCTGACCCACCTCCTGTACCACCTTCTCCCTTCTTACCGTGTCCCGACCCCGCCCCGCAGCCGACGGCGGCGCAAGGGAAGAGGAGGAGCAGGAGCCGGAAAAGGAGGAGAAGCTGAAAGACGAGGAGGAGGGGTTGTTCGTTTTTGTTCTTGCCTCGAGTTGATGTAGCAGGGCCGGGAGGCCAGCTTCTGTAGCTGTCTGATCTGCAAAGGAGAAGAAGAACAAGCAGCAGAAAGCGGGAGAGGAAGAAGAGGAGGAAATTCGCGTGCCCACCGCGCCGTGTCCGCAGCCCTCCGGGCCCCAGAGCGTCTGCCCCGCCGCGTCCTGCCGGTGACCGGGGAGGGAGGCAGGGGGAGCGGGCCCGCATATCTGGGGCGCCCCCGTTTTGTTCGGGGGGATCCCGGCCGGGGAAGGGGACGCCGGTTCTGGCTGTCCCTGCCCTGGGACACCGGAGAGGCCGATGCGTGTTTGGAATAGCCCCGGGAGAGCAGAAAAGTGGAAGCACAGAGTTAACGGGGAGGGCAGGATTCCGTCGACCCTGAAACGGGTGACTGGGAGGGGGGACTTCTCCGGCATCGGGGAGTGGGGCGAGCCTGAAGAGTGGGAGCCCTGGGACCCCCAGCAGCCGAAACTGAGACTCGGAGGAGAAGGGACCCTAGGGCCGCTAAAACTTCCAGCAACCCTAAGCAGGACCCAGGAGAGGGAAGACCTCCAGGACCCCGAAATGGAGAGACCAGAGACGGGGGAATCTTGGAGGACTCCTGTGCTGCATCTTAATATTTTGGAGGGGGTTTTTCTTCTGCATCATGGTATTTCAGAGGTTTTCATGGACACAAGACACTTGGTCATTTCTAGAGATGGACTTGGGCAGGAGGAACCTCCAGCACACTCACACATTGTTTTCCCCCAAAACCAGGATTCGTCATTCCTAAGGATTGGCTGAATGGAGGAGGAGGCTGCAAGGAAGAGGAAGATGCTCCAGGACAGCCAGGCAGGTGAGGAGGAAGTCACTTCCCGTTTCACCCTCATTTCTGTTCCATCTCCCAGCCCAGCATGGCCCCCAGCTGCAGGACAACCCCACTGCCAACACCATCCTGCCAGGGATGAATGGGGGGGATCTCCTTCCCCTTCCCTCTGGCACGGAGGCAAATCCCATCCTCTCCTTGTCCTTCCTCCCCCAGGCACTGAGCTGAAGGTAGAGATCAAGGAGGAGAAATCCCCCTGGCAGAGCATTGCGGAAGAGGCTGTTTTGAGCACCTCCACAGCACAGGAAGCCAATGGGGAAGAGAAGCCCCAGAGATCCCACACAAGGAGGGGCTGCAAGCCCAGCCCAGGGTGCTCCAAGGAGGAAAGAGACCCCCTGTGCCAGGAAGGTGGCCAGAGCTTCAGCCAGAGCTCAGAGCTGGTGAAGAAGCCTGACATGGGGGAGAAGCTGCACAAATGCTTGGAGTGTGGGAAGAGCTTCGGCCGGAGCTTCCACCTCCTCCGGCACCAGATGATCCACACAGGGGAACGCCCCTATGAATGCTTGGAATGTGGGAAGAGCTTCGGCCGGAGCTCCTGTCTGATCCGCCATCGGGTAATTCACACAGGGGAACGGCCCTACAACTGCAGGGAATGTGGGAAAAGCTTCAGTGACCGCTCCAACCTCCTCACCCACCAGCGCCTGCACTCCAAGGTACGGCCCTTTGAGTGTTGGGAGTGTGGGAAGAGCTTCAGCACCAGGTCTGACCTGATCCAGCACGAGAAGATCCACAGTGGACAACGGCTCTATGAGTGTCCTGAGTGTGCAAAGAGATTTCGGACCAGCTCCCATCTCCTCCTGCATCAGCGCATTCACACAGACGAGAGGCCCTTCCGCTGCCCCGACTGCGGGAAGGGCTTCAAACGCAACTCCCACCTCACCCTGCACCGGCGCACCCACACCGGGGAGAGGCCCTACGAGTGTGGGGAGTGTGGGAAGAGCTTCTCCAGCAGCTCTGGCTTGACTCAACACCAACGGACACACCAGTAAGGGAAGTCCTGCTGTGGAGGCCCAGGGGCCCACCATTGCCCTGGAAGGGCAAAAGTGACAAGGGTCAAAGAGAGACTCCCTCTGAATACAGTGGTCTCACCCATAGGCATTTCCAGGCTCATGTTAATGCAACAGGCTTTATTGGTATCACCCAGTTCAACTGCCCTCTTTTCTTTATAGGTACTGCCCCTAGAATGTTCTCCCCTCTCTTGTCCTCTCTTGTGGTGCTCTGCCCCTGGTTACCTCATTGGTTCCCAGTTTGCTGCCCCTCCTCTGTGCCATTTGTACTTCAATTCCCATTGGCCCTTGACCCTCGGATCTGCCTCTTTCCCCCCCCCCCATATAAAACCCTCTCCTCAGCCGTCTGTCCTTGGACCCTCTTCATAGCAATAAACCAGATTTGGACCTCCTCACAAAGACTGTTCGTTAGCAGTTTAAGCAAGCCTGCTCTGGGCTCTGGGAGTGCTGGTCGTTCACAGAGACTCATTGTGGACGCCCCACAACACCCTGAGAATGCCCTGACTGTGAGAAGGTCTTCATCTACTGCTCCAACTTCATCACCCATCAGAGGACCCACACTGGATGATTCTCAGTTACCCTCACTGGGCCAAGACCTGCTTATCCATGTTCCAGGTGTACTGGGTTTGTGTGGCCAGGTTTGGAAGGAGGGGGCCACAGGGGTAGCTTTTATGAGAAGCTGTCAGGAATTTCCCCATGTCCAGCAAAGCCAGCACCAGCTTCTGTACAGATCCACAACTCACCAACGCTAAGCCCACAGGAGATGGCAGTGACACCCCAGGGATAATGGATTCAAGAAGGAAAAAGTTCTTGTGCAGATGGAATCAGGTGCAGAGCAGAGTGGGAGCATGTGAAAGGAACAGCTCTGCAGACTCCCAGGGCAGCGCAGAAGGAGGGGCAGGAGCTGCTCCAGGTGCTGGAGCTGCCTGCAGCCCCTGGAGGAGCCTGCACTGGAACGGGGGGATGCCCGGAAAGAAGGATGTGAGCCCGTGGGAAGCCCGTGCTGGAGCAGCCTCCATGCAGGGCCCTGTGGATCCCTGGGCAGAGGAGCCCACGCTGGAACAGCTTTGCTGGAAGGACCTGTGGAGACCCATGCTGGGACAGGGGAAGGACTCCCAGCTTCTGTCCCAGAGCAGCAGTAGGAGGAACAAGGTGCATTATCCTGCTCTGATTTGGTTGGTAATAAATTGAGGTCCTTTCCCCAGGGTGAGTCTGTTTTGCTTGTGACAGTGTTTGGGGAGCAATCCCTCCTGGTGCTTATCTCAATTCCTGGGCCTTTCCTTTTATTTTTCTCTCCCGTGTCCATGTGCAGAGGGCAGGGACAAAGCAGTTTTGGTGGCACCTGGCACCCAGTCGGGGTCAGCCCGCCGGAGGGGGTTGGTAGTGGCTTGTGAGGGTCCCTGGACGTCCCTGCTGGAGCAGGGTGTCCCCCCTTGCTGCAGCCCAGTCCCTCAGGCAGCGCCCAGCCCAGCAGAGCGCTCGGTGCTGGCAGTGTCCCGGCAGACCCGCAGCGCTCAGCCGGGGCTCCAGCTGTGGCCCCCACCCCCAGCGCTCCCTGCCAGGGAATTTGGGAAGGGAACACGTGGAGGGCTCCCGGGGGCCCCCGAGCTGTCCCCACATGGAGGGGGCAGCTGAGGCGGGGTCCGGCCCTGCCCGGGCACGGCTGATGCCCCCACAGTCCAAACCGCTCCGGACTGGTGCTGCCAGCGCAGCGCGGCTGCTTTGGGGCTGCTGCTCCCTGCCCGGCCCCGGCCATGGGGTGAGGGGCGGCAGCTGGGGCCCTGCTGGTGGCACTGGTGGTGCTGGGAGCCCCCCCGGCTCTGGGTTGAGCAGGGAGGCAGGGGTGGGGGGGAACTGAAAGATGTTTGAGAGGACACGTAAGGGAAGGTGGGACAGTGGGAAAAGGGTTCCCAGTGCGGGACCCTTCGCGTCCTCCGTCATTGATCTCTGCAGTGATTCCCTGGCGCTCTGAGGGGGAGTGAGATCCACACCCAGTCCCCCGTCCATCCCTCAGGAGCAAATGGGGACTTCCCTCACACAGCAGCTGGTGCTGCAGCAGCAATGGGGCAGACTGGGGGCTGGAAAGGGGAGTCCAGAATGGCCCCCTGAGCTTCCAACCTGATGTGGGGTGGTGGGGGTAGGGGGGTGCCTCCCCTTGCCCACGCAGTGGTGTTCCTATGGATGGGAAAAGGCCAGAGTCACTTCCTGAACGACCCTGAGTGGGTGAGGTTCATGGACAAGAGCATCTATAACCTAAAGCAGCTCCAGCACTTCAACAGTGCTTTGGGCACTTTGAGGGGATACCCCATATGGGAACAGCCAGGCCCAGTACTGGAACACCCAACTGGAATTACTGGAGAAGAGATGGGCTCAGGTATTACAGTACAGGGACACAATACTGTTGGCACACCCCAATCACCTGGCATGAGCAGCCCTATTTTTGAGGAAAACAACCCCAAATCTCCATAAAAATCCCCAAATCCTCCGGATTATCCCCCTAAATCCCAAATTCTCCTTTAAATCAAATTGAAATAGTTGGGGTTTGAAGATCTTTGTTTAATTACTTCATTTTAGCCCCAATTTCATCTGTTTGTAAGAGATTAAAATGTTTCAAAAGAAAACGAAGCCCCAAACAGAAGGATTTACATGTTGGTGTCCTGTGAGTATCTCTGTAGCTGGGCTGTTTGGGTGGGAAGAGCCCTTTTTGCAGCCTTTGATTTGAATAGTTTGGTGTTTGCACCAATCCATCACCACTTGTCTGTTAAGATGCCGGTGGGCCATAGGGAATTAGAACAATTGAATTAAAAAGGCTTCTTGGTTGCAAAAGACCTCAAAGATCATCCAGTTTTGCTTGATGCCTCCTGAAGAAATGAGTGGTGGCTGCTGGTGAGATTTTTTGGGGTCTAAAGTCAACAAGACTGCCTTGCCCAATGAATTTCCAATGTTGGTCTGCATTCTAATGGATGTTCCTTCCCCTGCATTCATCAGGGTGCCTGTGGGGAACAAGGAGGATGTGGACATCACTAGCCAGTTGTCTTCCCAATGTGGATCACTTGGAATGTGGGTAAACAGGTCTCTGCCCAATGTGGTTCAGCAGGAAAATTGGTCAACATATCTTTTTCCAGTGTAGACCACTGGGTCTCTGCCCAATGAGGGTCACCATGGATCATCCAGTGTTTGTCCTCTGATGGGTGATAAAGTTGGACAAAGCTCTTCCCACAGTCAGGGCACTTGCAGGGCTTCTCTTACATGTGGGACCAGTGGTGTGAGGTCAAGGCATCGCTCTGGGTGATGAGGTGGGAGCTCCAATTGAAGCTCTTCCCACTTGGGACACTCACAGGGCCCATTCCCCAGTAGGAACCTTCTGGTGGCTGAGGCAGTGAGAGCGGTCACTGAAGCTCTTCCCACATTCCAAACACCTATAGAGCCATTTCCCTGCGTGGATCTTCTGGTGGAGGATCAGGGTGGAGCTCTGAGTGAAGCTCTTCCCACATTCCTCATGCTCAGGGCTATTTCCCCGTGTGCACCCACTGGTGGATGAGGGTTTCTCTTTGATGTGAATATGCTGCTGGACCCCAGGTCAGAGCTCTGGCTGAAGTTCTGGCTGCCTTCCAAGCACAGGGAGGGTCTTTCCTCCTCACAGCTCCCCAGGCTGGGTTTGCAGCCCCTCCTCGTGTGGGATCTCTGGGGCTTTTCCTCCCTGTTGGATTCCTGCGCCATGAAGCTGCTCAAAACAACCTCTTCCACGAGGTTCTGTGGCAGGGATTTGTTCTCCCTGGTCTCTGTCCACAGCTCAGTGCCCGGGGGAGGAAGGACAAGGAGAGGATGGTGTTTTCCTCCATGGCAGAGGGAAGGGGAAGAGATCCCTCAATCCATCCCCAACAGGACAGCATCAGCAGCGGGGTTGTCCTGCAGCCCAGGGCAATTTTCAGCTAAAAGAGAGAGCCGGGGAAAGGGGCAGTGACTTCCTCCTGACTTGCCTGGGTGTCCTGGGCCATCTTCCTCTATCGCAGTCAGGCTCACTGCAGCCCCGAGTCCAGTCCAGCTGGGGACAATGTGGCAAAATAGAGGGATGGGAACAATGGATTTGCCTGAAAAATAGAGAACTTTAAGAGCAAAATAACAAACACAGAAACCACAGGATTCTGGTTACAATCCAGTGATGGGGCGGGGGGAGGGGGGTGTAACAATAACAATATATAGTGGTACTCTGAGGGCAGGGGTCCAATCAGCAGCACAAACTTGGAACATGACCTTACATGTGACAGGTCCTAAACCAACTGAGAACAAGAACAAGAACATGACTTAATGCAGAATAGTTCCATTAACATACCATCAACATACTAACTCCCATGACAACACTCTTCTCACCATGACCTGATAGGATAGCTCTCAGTATCCTGTTTCCCATGGTCTAGGGTTGATGCCTCCTGTATATGCCACTGAGGCTAAACCACTATTCATCCTAGCTGGTTGCATTCCTACATTCCTCTTCCTTGCAGCCTCCTCCTCCATCTGGCCAAGTTTTGGAATAAGAAATCCTTTCTTGGGAGGATAAACAAGCTGTGAGCATGTTGGGTTGGTGGTTCCTCCTGCCCAAGTCTATCTCTAGAAGTCACTGGGCATCTCGTGCCCATAGAATTTTCAAAACACCAAGATTCAGCCCAAAACCCATCTCTGATCTCTCCACTTTGAGGTTCTTGGGGCTCCCCCTGCCTGAGCTGCTGAAGGTCCAACATGTATTAGGGGTTCCCTGTCTCAAGCCTGCTAGCAGTCCCAGGAATTGTCCCTCTTCAGACTCTCCCTTTTTCCAGCCTACACTTCAGGGAGCTCTGTGCCCCCCTGAGCTGTTGGGCTCCCTCCTCTCCCGGCCCCCCATTCTGAGTTCCGGGGTACCCGGGGCTCTCCCCGATCCGTATTACCCCCACCTCCAGTCTGCCCGAGGTCCCACAGTTCCAGTACTGCCCATTTCCATTTTCGCCACTCCAGGGGTCCCAGGCTTTCCCACATTCGGCTCTCCCGGGGAGTCCCCAAACCAGCGTTCCACACCCATGGCCAGCACCGGGCAATTGCCGGCAGCAGCCCCAAAAACAACGCTCCTGGGGACTGCCCAAGATACCTGAGAAGCTCCCTGTCCCTGGTCACCTGAGGGATGTGAGGGGCCAATCCTCCTGGGGCAGAGGGGCTGCAGTTGCAGTAAACGGTGAATGCATGAGATACCTCCTCTCCCCTCTCCTCTTCCTCCTCCCACTTTCTCCTCCTGTATCCCTTTGGCTGTGGGCCAGGAGATCTCAGGTCAGCGGGGGAGCTGGACATGATGGGAAAATGGGGGAAGAGGGGGGAAATATGGGAGGGATCCCCAAAAGGAGCAAGAGAGAGGGTAGGCCACCCCCAAACTAATCGGAGGGGAACTGGGGCTGTGGAGGAGGATGTGACAGGGGTGAGAGAGGGATATAAGAGGTGGTGGGTCAGTGCAAACATTTTCTTATGGGGGATCCTTCGTGTTCCTCATCACTTAATCCCCAGAGTGGTTCCGGGGGGCTCTGAGGGGGTAGATCCGCTCTGGAGGTTTCCCAACCCTCCATCCATTGGGGGGGTTCCCCCCACTCAGCAGCCAGTGCTGTGGTGGGCACGTGGCAGAGTGGGGTGTGAAAAAGGGGCAGGGGTGGCCTCTTGAGCCCCCAACCTGCTGTGGGGTGCAGGGGGTTGCTGGGGGTTGAGGTGCCACTGACCTGCCTCTCTGCCCACAGGGGTGTTGGGTGGGTGGGAAAGGCCGAGTGCCACTCCCTGAAGGACCCTGAGCAGGTGAGGTTCATGGACAGGAGCACCTGCACCAAGGAGCAGCTCAGGCACTGGCAGGGACACCTCCCTCCGCCTTCGCTGCCTACCAGCACATGGGGAATGGCCTTACAAGTGTGGGAAACGAGGAAAGAGGTTTTGGAGCAGCTCAGACTTCATGAAGCATCAGTGGACACATTCGGGGAAGAGTCCGTCCACCCTTCCCCAAGCCAAAGCATGATCTGAGAAATGCGATTTAGGCCTTGGCCTTGATGATCAAACCCTGCGCTCAGCTCCTTTGGCGCTTGCCACAAGCACTATCTGCTCCAGGGACTGGTGCTGTCCAAAAACCTCCTGCTTATTAACTAACAGCCTTGGAAACTTCTTCTTTTCACTTGAATAACATCCCAAATGGGATCATATTTTTTAGTTGTCAACCTTTGCTTGAGCCAGGATGGACAATGTCTGTGAATAAAGCCCATCCCTTGGGCCCTATAAACAGCAGCCCTGAGTGAGTGAGTTACAGTACAAGCTGGCTTTATTGGGCAATTTCACCCAATCACACCTGCACTCTAAGCTGCAGACATCTCACTGCTCAGAGAACTGAGAGGTGTTAAGATCAGACCAATGAGTGGTTTAGACTGGGGCATTTTCAAACCCCCTGTATGAAGCTGGGATCAGACAATAAAGCTCTCTCTATTGTTGCCACTTGCAGCTCTGGAGTGTGTCTCTGTCTCTGAGCACCGGCTCCACGTTACCCCCTTGGAGCTCTGCTGGGCTGCAGCAGCTGTGACAGCGACCTCCGTGTGCTGGGGCCTCTGTGAGCTGGGAGCTCTCCTGTTTGCTGCCCCTGGGGCAGCCCCGAATGGTGCTGGGCTGAGCCCCCCGTCCCTCCTTGAGGCTCTGCCCTGCTCCCGGTGGGAAGATACAAAGGCAACTGAAGGGAGAGTTCCACTGGATTCCAGGGGAATTTCCTGCAGGGACCTTGTACAGACTCCTTCTGTCCATACATGTGTGACGCTGAATATGCCAGAGCAAATGTCCTGGGAACGCTGCTCTCCTGGAGTCAGAAGAACTTAAGATATGTGAGTCAGTCGGGCCTGTGGGTATATTCCTGTTGTGGTGTAATAAATTCTATGCGAAGTTACTGATTAAGTTTCAGTTAAGTGCTGTTAAGTGCTATTGGGCTTTTAAGCCCAAACTGTTGAAATCCAGGCTCAGCTCTGCACAGGTGTCTACTCTGACCCTTGTGACTCAGCAGTGGGGTCTTCCATATTCCCTTTTATCACTACCTTTTCCTATCCTTTCCTCTCCCCTGCTCCTCTGTCCCATCCCCTCCGCCCTCAGCATCCAGTAAAATGGTTTTGGGTTTATTTCAGTTTGGATTGATTGATTTTTGCTGTTTCTAAGAGTGCTTTAAGCATTGAGTAAGTGGCAGAGATAACCTTGCCAAGGAACTTTGTTGTAGGGTCATTTTCATATGAGGCCTGGTTTTGCTGATGGGTTTCCTGGCCATTCTTTAAGTGACCTTAAAACATTGGAGCCCAAGAGAACAGCTCTGCAAACATCCAAGGGCAGGAGCTGCTCCAGGCAGTGTTTGTATTGGTTGTGGGGGGAGGAGGAGAAGGGATGGAGAAGGAGCAAGAGAAAGGATGGACAAAGAAGGAGAAAAAAAGCGGGATTAAGAAGGAGGAAGAGGAGGAGTAGGGAGAGACAAGGAGGAGGAAGAGGGAAAAGGAGGTGGTCACTGTTTCTGCAGCCCAGCTCGCCCCTGGGGGTTTCTCCCTCCCTGCATTTCGCAGGTAACTGGAGAAGAGGAGCTCGGCCCAAATATCTTGGGACATCCCTGGGACACTTTTTTGAGCAGAGTAGGATATTTTCAGCTTGTAGGACTTCAAGGCTGAGCTGCAAATGCTCCTTAGTGAGATACTGGGGGTCCCTGCAATGGGCGGTGCAGTGCAGGGTTCCCAGAGCCATGGGGAAGCATTGAGGGATGCTGGCAAGGACAGCAGTACTGGAGACCTTGGGGAGAGCCAGGCTAGGGAGAAAAACACGGAATCCCTGATGTGGGGAGAGGGGCCAAACTGGTGCTGGGGGACCCCCAGAAGGTTGGAGGGGCAGGAGAAAGAGGGAGGAGCCCCAGGGCCCTGAAACCAGGATCCTAAGAGGGAGGATTCCGAGGCAGTCTCAATAGGAGAGATAACCAACATAGGAGGGAAGCCAGGACTGCCAACAGCACAGGGAAGGAGGATCCCTGGGACACAGTCAGGAGAAAAAGAACCCCTGGGATGCCCCAAACCCTGGGCATTCATAAACTGGATCTCAGAGAAGGGGAACCACCTGGACCCATCGTACCCCCAAGCAGCCCAGAGAAGGGGAACCTCAAAAACTCCAAAGTGGGAAGACAATAGAAGGAAGACACCTGAAACTGCCAGGAGCACACATAGCCTGAAGAGGCTGGGGACCCTGTAGAGATCTAACTTTAAATGCATGCAGGACCCCCAGCATCCTGCATAGGGGAGACCCCCAGAACCCCAAAGTCAGGAGACCATGGAGAGGTGTTTGTACCAGTGGGCACACTACAACCTCGCAAAGGTCAAAGATCCCGAGAGATGTCACAGTACACACGTGTAGCACAGATGCTGAAAAGTGGCAAAGCTGAATAACCTCGCTCAGCTTCAGTCCTGTGCAGATCACAGAAGGCAAAGAATGAAGCAGCAGAGCAACGGGCTTTTGTGCCCACTGAAGGGAATTGCAAAAATCTAGCAGCTGCTCATTCACAAGCACAGTCAGCTGTGTGTGCTCTTGCTTCTTGAAAAACTCACCGGTGCCCTTCTTTTCTCATAGGAGGGGTTTTTGGTCTGCATCTTGTTTTGGAGGTCTGTGTTGACACAGAATGCCTGGTGAGTTCTGGAGATGGATTTGAGGGAAGTCCTTCCCCTTCCCTCTGGCACGGAGGCAAATTCCATCCTCTCCTTGTCCTTTCTCTCCTCAGGCACTGAGCTGCAGGCAGACACCAGGGTGGAGGAATCCCCCTGGCAGAGCATTGTGGAAGAGGCCATTTTGAGCACCTCCATAGTGCAGGAGTCCAACGGGGAGGAAAAACCCCAGAGATACCCCATGAGGAAGGGCTCCAAATCCAGCCCAGGGTGCTCCAAGGAGGAAAAAACCACCCTGTGCCAGGAACACAGCTGGAGCTTCAGCCAGAACTCACACCTGGTGGTCTACAAGCAGCATCATATTGGTGAAAGCACTACAGGTGCTTGGAATGTGGGAAAGAGCTTCAGCCAGAGATCCCATCTGATCTGCCACCAGAAGATCCACACCTGGGAACAGCCACACAAGTGCCTGAAATGTGGGAAGGACTTCAGTGATGACTCCAACCTCATCATCCACTGGAGCCTGCACACTGGAGAGCAGCCCTACAAGTGCAGGGAACGTAGGAAGAGCTTCAGCCAGAGTTCCAACCTCCTCTCTCTCCCACCAGCTTGTCCACACTGGGGATCGGCCTTACCAGTGCCCCAGCTGCAGAAAGAGATTCAGCTTCAGATCCCACCTGATCTACCACCAGAAGATCCACAGTGAGGAACAGCCCCACGAGTGTCCTGAGTGTGGGAAGAGTTTTCGGAGGCGCTCCCATCTGGTCATGCATGATCAAACACACACAGAGGAGAGGCCCTTCCGCAGCCCTGACTTTGGGAAGGGCTTCAAGCACAACTCCACTCTCATCACCCACTGGCACACCAGGGAGAGGCCCTACGAGTGTCCTGAGTGTGGGAAGAGCTTCTCCTACAGCTCTACCTTGATTTCACCCCAATGGACCCATGAGTAGCGGAAGCCCTACAGGTGCTCTGACTACAGGAAGAGTTTTATCTCCTGCTCCAAATTTATCACCCACTAGAGGACCCATGTTGCACTATCCACAGTGACCCATATTGTGAAAAAACATGGTGATCCACATTCCTGGTGATCCATGTTGGGTGAAAACCTGGTGAGCCATGTTCCACATGATCCACATTGGGAAGACGCCCGGCTGGTGGTCTTTGGGCACCTGGATGAACGCAGGCGAAAACCTCTATCAGGATGGGGACTGGCATTGGAAATTGAAGCATTGAGGCCTGAACAGCAGGCCCTGCGCCAAAGTTGATCTTCAGATGAGCCTTCCAACCAAACATTATATGATACTTGCATCTGCTAATTAGTGAAATATCAATGATCATTAGTGAAATATGTAATGTGATACAAGTGTATTTATCTTTCCATGTTTAGGGGACAGCCAAAGCAATGAAATCAGATATGTGGCCTTGTTTGGAGGCACATCATCAAAGCCAACTCCCTTGGTTCCTTCTTGAGCCCTGACCAGGTTTTGTGTGGAACCCAAATGTTGTGGGTTGGTGCTGGCCAGATGCCACACACCCACAAAAGCCACTTACTCACTCCTCTCCACAGTCAGACAGGGGAGAGGAAATATGTAACAAAGGGTTCATGGGTTGAGATAAGCACCGGAGAGTCATCCCTCACCAAGCACCGTCACAGGCAAAACAGGCTCAGTTTTGAGATATGAAATGAACTAACAGAATCAGAGCAGGATAACAAATAAAATAAGCCCTTAAAATCACCTTTCCCCCAGCCCTCCCTCCTTCCCAGCTCTATCCCAGCAGCACAGGGAGACGGGGAATGGGGATTACACTCAGTTAATCATGTGTGGCTTCTGCTCAGGGAGAGGAGTTGTTCCTCTGCTGCGCTGTGGGGTCCCTACCACAGGAGACAGTTCTCCATAAACTTCTCCAGAGTGAGTCCATCCCATAGGCAACAGCTGTCTGCAAACTGCTGCAACGTGAGTCCATCACAGGGACAACAGTCCTCCCCAAACTGCTGCACTGTGGGTCACCTTCCCATGGGGTCAGTCATTCAAGGATCTTTATTAATCACTATAGGCGATCTTTTGGACTAATTATTTGGTGCATTACTTATCCTTTTTTAATTCTTTGCTCTTTTCAACTATAGAAAATTATGCTTACTTCTTAAAGTTGTGTCTTTTGTGCTGACCCCATCAACTGGCAGAACAGAAATTCATTAGGAAGGCTGTATTTGTTAGTCCTCATGCTCAGAGCTTCTTTTCTTGGGAGTTGGTTGGTTTTGGTGTTGGTGGCCGTGAGTCAGTGGTCACTGTCTGCCCCTGCCAGAGTTCGCTTTGACCCAGTCAGAGCTGATTTCACAGAGTTGCTGGATTGGGCTTTCATTGTGGCCTATGAATTCTGCAATCTTTGTGTCCAGTCTCAGTGATCCATTCTCCTCCCCCAGCTTTGTGAACCTCCTCCAGGCCTGAGATAACACCTGGACGATTGTCCCACCCTGATCTTACCTACAGTCCAGGTGCCAGGTACCCACTGAGGAATATCAGACTACCAGGGGAGGGCAGGAGGGGAGGAGGCAGGGAGGATTCAGCGGTCATTGGTGGTGGCAGCTGCCATTGTCTCCATAACTTGGGGTGAACTTTGTTTGACCAGTGATGTTCATATGAGCAGTTGCTTCTTTACACACTTTGTCACAGTGGGAATTTCTGTGGGCATGCACTTCCTGGCATGTGCCACCCAGATCTCGCCTCTGCCAGGCCTGGAGTCAGCACCTTCCTGTTCGTCCTTTGTGTGCTCATCTCATGGCAAACCCTTCTGTGGCCTTGGCAGTGGTTGAGGTGGGCAGCTCTGCTCCTCGGGTCCTTACACAGCCTGATCCATCACCCACCCTCGAGTGACCTCACACCTGCCCTGAGTGTTGGAGGAGCTCCAGTGGCAGCTCCAGCCTCAGCTCCACCCAAGGATTTATCATGGAAAGGGACTGGTCTCCTGTGGGGCAAGCTTTGGCCAGAGCACGGACTTGATCTCCCACTGTAGGATCCATGCTGGGGAGAAACCCTGTGTCTGCCCAAACTTTGTCCACAGGCTCCACTCAAATTAAGATGTTTTGAAAGTGGAATTAAGCCATTTGGGGTTTGTATCAAGAGATTCTGGGGGAGCGTGGAGCCATTTTCAGTGTGATTGTGTTGTTTTAAGATGATTGGTCAATCACTCTTGGCTTTTGCTGTGCACACCGATGCAGAAGACTCCCCTACATCCCCACGGAATCCCCAGATCCTCTGGAACATCCCCCTGAACTCCAAATTCTCCCCAAAAAGCACTAAAATGGGAGGGCTTTATGTGTCTTTTTTCAACTTATTTATTTTTACCCCCCTTTCAGGTGTTTTAATGGGATGAAGAGGAATCAAAAGAAAATTAAGGCTAAAACAAAAGTATTTACATGTTGGCATTGTGTGAATATCCATGGAGTTGGGTTGGTGGAAGAGAATTTTTTTGAGGAGTTTCCACCCCATTGTGTCTGAAATCTTGGTCTTTGCTCCAGTCCGTCGCTGTGAAAGACACCCACGGGCCTTGGAGAAGTAGAATTGTATTATTGAGTTGTAATTGTACTAACTGAAATAGGAGGAAAGGGAGATGGAATTAGGGAGGAGGAGGAAGGGGAGGAGGAATAGCAGGGAGCTCATGGATCCACGGCTCCCCATATCTGCAGCCCTCCCCAGCCTGGGGGCATCATCCCCCCTCTTGCCTCAAATATCCAGAGGGAACAGGGGGTGTCTCAGGATTTGCTTTTTGTGAGGCAATATCTGGATTTTGCAAACTCCAAAGCTGATCTGCAAATACCCCTCGGGGGATACTGAGGGGATTCCAGAGGTGTTCTTGGTCTGGGGGCTCCTGGTGGCTGCAGCCATGGGGGTTGGCAGGGGATGTGGAATCCCTGGAGCTGCGTGGTGATCAGCCAGCAGCAGGGCAGGGGGAGCAGGAGCTCCCTTTCTGGGGACTCCTCAAGACAGCCAGGGCTGGGGGAAGGCCAGGAGAGAGGAAAACTGAGAGAGGCAATGCGGTAATCACAAATCCTCTGAGCAGAGAGAGACATTGCTCTCTCCCAGGATTTTCCTGGGAAGCTGTGAGAAGCTGTGAGAAAGTTCAGAGAAGAGAATGAGAAACAATTCTTATCTCCAATTGCTGCACTTTTTGTTGTGCACGTGTGGAATGTGTTATGGAGATTGTTTACCAAAGGGGGATTTCTTAACTGGACACTGGATGGTGTTTGGATCGATTGACCAATTAGGTTAAAGCTGTATTGGAAAGTCAGTAAGGGTTACAAGTTTCCTTAGAGTATTGTATAATGTAGTATAGCTTAATAAAGCAATTATCAGCCTTCTGCAGTCATGGAGTCAATGTTAATTACTCGCTGTTCAGGGGACCATTGCTACAATAAGGCCATACTGGAACTGAGGGACCCCTGACAGCCCAGAGAGGGGCAAAGCTCACTGAGGGGTAATCTGGGAGAAGGAGAGATCCCAGAGAAGGCCGAACCCAGGGATTCCTGGGACCCTCAGCAGTCTTGAAAGTGAGGAACCCCGGAGATGGAGGATCACCCATACACATGAGACCCCCAGCAGGCCAGACAGAGGGAAACCAAAGTGGAGACACCAGACGGGGCACCCAGGCAGGTGAGGAGGAAGTCAGTGCCCCTTTCCCCCTCTTCTCTACTCCATCTCCCAGCCCAGCATCGCCCCCAGCTGCAGGACGACCAACGTTGTCCTGACAGGGATGGATTTGGGGGATGTCCCTTCCCTTCCCTCTGGCACGGAGGCAAATCCCATCCCATCCCATCCCATCCCATCCCATCCCATCCCATCCCATCCCATCCCATCCCATCCCATCCCATCCCATCCCATCCCATCCCATCCCTCCCTCCTTTATTCCTCTCCTTTCTCTCCTCTCTCTCCTTCTCCAGGCACTGACAGAGACCAGGGAGGACAAATCCCTGCATCAGAACCTCGTGGAAAGGCCATTTCGAGTGACTCCAAGGCACAAACATACAATGAGGAGGAGAAGTTACAGTGGTATCCCATGAGGAGCGTCTCCAAACACAGCCCACAGTGCTCCAAGGAGGAAAGACCTATCCTGTGTCAGGAAGGCGGCCAAAGCTTCATCCAGAGCTCAGACCTGGTGGTCCTTGAGTGCTTTCACACTGGGGACGTGTGCTACAGGTGCTTGGGACGTGGCAAGAGCTTCAGATGGAGCTGCTACCTGATCTGGCACCACAAGATCCACGTGGTTCCAGGGGGAACGGCCCTGGAAGAGCTTGGAATGTGGGAAGAGCTTTAGCCAGAGCTCCTGTCTGATCCACTGTCAGAACCCAAGAAATTCCTCTGAATGCCCTGGAGGCTCAGAGACCTTGGCACGGAGTCAAAAGACACCTGTGCCTTCGATTTTAAGCCATAGAAACACTTACCAAATTTGTGCAAGTAGTTACAAGCCACAAAGGTTTGAGTAAAATGTTAGTAAATTTATCACTGAGTGAAAAATGTAGAATTTTGAGGTTTTTAGAATGGGGAAGCAAGATATAGAAAAATCTGAGCATGTCCAGTCTTTCTCCTCCTTCTTCTTTGCCTCCATCTTCTGCTGTGATAGTAGCACTTTTAGATTGGTTTAGAGTAGAGGCAAACTGTCTAACATAGGTGATAACTACTAGAAAATTATTGTAAATAATGTACACATAGTTTTTAGTATAAAAAAGATAACACTGCCCCAAAGCAGTGTGCAATGAACCAATGTGCTAAACAGATCTCAGCAAGTCAGAGAAATAATTTTATAAATAATAAAAAAATAAACAATCTTGAGAATAAGAGACAAGGATTCCTGTCTTCTTCAATCTTGAAGCTGAGAAAAGAGGCTTTCTAACACCTCAGGGTCATCTTGACACCAGAGACCCCATCAACCCACCATGAGATAATTCACATGGGAGAGCAGCCCTACAGGTGTAGGGAATGTGTGAAGAGCTTCAGTGACCACTCTAACCTCACCAGCCACCAGCGCCTGCCCTCCAGGGAATGGCTCTGCCAGTGTGGGGAGTGCGGGAGGAGCTGCAGCCAGAGCTCCCACCTGATTCACCACCAGAATATCCACACTGGCCCTAGCAGGGTCCTGACTGTGGGAAAAGCTTCACCCAGAGCTCTGCCTTGACCTTACACCAATGGATTCACTGGAAAGGGAACCCCTGTGAGTGCCCCGAGTATGGGAAGGGCTTCAAACACAGCTGCAACTCCATTGCCCATTGGAAGACCGATGCTGGATGGTCCACAGTGAGCCCCACTGGGCAGAGACCTGGTGACCCACGTTCCTGGTAATCCATGCTGGGACAGTATTGGGTTTGTGTGATCAGGTGCTGGAAACGGGTGCTCCAGGGATGGCTTCTGTGAGGAGCTTCCAGAAGCTTCCCCCATGTTTGGCTCCTGTCCTGATCCATGCCCAAAGGTGAGGGTAACCCAGGTTCTGGTTCATGGATCCCTGGCACAGATCAAAGTGAAACAACAGTGATTGATCTGTGTTTGTAAATATATGTCTGTTAGGTTTGTTTTAGAACAGTTTCTTTGCCATGTAAAGGTTTGGAACCCTTTTTGATTACCATCTCTAGCAATATAGAAGCATTAAAACAACACCTAGGAAAACTTCTAAGGGAAAAAAAGGTAAGTATAAGAGTAGAAAGACACACAGGCACCAGCTCTGGATCCAGCAACAAAAATAGATTATTGCAATGTCCTTGTCGTTGGTCTAAGTGATGGTCCCAGGATGGATCCCTTGGGAGTTGGAAAAGCCCCAGAAACACCAAGTACTGTGAGTCAGCACAGGTTCAGGTTTGGTGAATGCCCAGCTCCCTCCTCTGGCGGGAGTTTTACACTGTCGGAGGTCACACTGCGGATCCCAGGGCTCTGATGGTTTATGGCCCCTTCTGAGATGTGGCCCTGCCTCTCCCAGCAGCGCAGCTGAGCCGGTATGGCCCATGGGAAGGGATGCAAACCTCCAGCCCTCTGTGTGAATGTCCCTGGCCTTCCCCGGGGAGTTTCCAGAGCTGAGCCAGTTGTGTCAGGGAGGGCATTGCCCTGCTCCAAAGCTATGTCCTGTTGGAATGTTGGGGGACACAAGACAGATGATGCACTTTGGACCTGGTTAACATAAGAGATTGGATAACAGGCTGCCTTGGGAAAAACAAATGGAACTTTGAAAATTAGACCTGCATTGCAGGAAGATTCAATCAAACGGGTTTAACGGAAAAAGAAAATCCCATTAAGCTCTGCAAGGAGGAGATGTTGTTATATGCATATGTTTGTGTATGTGATTTTAACCTCATCATTGTAGGACACATTACTAGTCTCCCTGAAATAGTATATAAGGGTTTGAATCCCACAATAAAATGGGATTCTGATCACTGAATCAGTCTTCCCTGTCGCTCCATCGCCGGCCCTGTCCCGCCTGGCAGCCTCTGCTTCTGATCGGCCTCTGCCCTTCCCTGGCTCCAGCCCAGCCCGTCCCGTCCGGAGCTGGCTGTTCACCCCCTCTGCCCCGGGCACTGCCCACGCCCGTGGCCAGCAGAGCCCCCTCTGCTTCTGCCAATCGTTCCAGCCATTAACCTGGGACATTCCAGTCCCTCACAGCTCTGCTCCCCAAAAGCCCAGAGGGATGGGTGCTGCCTCTAAACGACTCCATCCCACTGAAAATGGCTCAACTCCACCTCCAAACAACTCAATCCCACCTCAAAACTTTGGGGTATCTCCTGAGCCCAAATTACTCCCACTTGTGGAATGCTCCTTGTCCACAAACTTCACCCAGCTGTTGCCATTGGGGAAGTGACAGTAGGCTTTTCCCCCAAAATGGAACACACCTGTGTGGGAAAGGAGACAGGTGAGGGGGTGCCTCCCCTCAGCCCCAACAGACCCCATCACCCTACAGCAGGTTGGGGACTCAAGGGACCCCCCCTCCCACCCCCATTCCCACAGCCCCTACAGCACTGGCTGTTGGCTGGGGTCACCCCCACTGTCAGCCCCCCCGGGAGAGATGGAGGAAGTTGGGGGCCCCCCCCTGCACGGTTCTGCTTACACCCCCTCCCCCCACCACAGAACCCCAGGATCAGCTCCAGAGATCCTGTCATGGGGACAGGAAGGGACTCCCAGGGGACCCCTTTGCCGCTGTCCTCCCTCCTCCTACCCCCCTCCCAAACACCTCTCCCATCTTTCCTGTGCTGCTCCCCCTCTCACCCAAGAGCTCCTCACCCGGAGCCAGGGTGGGCTCCCAGTACCCAGTGTGGGGTGACACGCAGGGGACTCACAGGCGTCCCCATTCCTGATCCATCTCGGGGCTGATTCTGCCCCCTCCCATCACAGTACCCCTGTGGGTTCCCCCAAAATTCCTCCACACACAGCTCCCCCATAAATGGGATCAGGGTGAACTGGGAAGTTTTATTGGGAACACTGGGAGCAGCTGGGCAGGGGCAGAGCGACAGTGGGGCCGGGGGGACACGGGACCCCCCAAAATCAGCGGAGCGGGGACGGAGCGGGGGGTCCCGGCTGGGCCCGAGCCTACGGGGAGGGGCTGCGGCCGCCGCCGGCTCAGGAGCTCTGTGGGCAGAGAAAAGGGGGTGACACCGGGCTGGGGCGCCCCGGGGGGAAGCACCCACACTCCGGGGGAGGGGGGACACGACCCTCAGGACCTGCCCTCACCTTCCTGCACAGGGAGAAGCCGAGCCCCAGCACCAGGAAGACGAAGCCCAAGACGAAGCCTCCGATGCCCATCAGCATCTTGCTGCGGGCGGTGTTCGGCGGCATCTCTGGGGGGTCCGCAGGGCTCAGCACCCCCAAAACCTCTCACAGACACCCCAAGCCCCTCCAAGCACCCTCATACCCCTCCAGCCCACCCAAGACCACAAGACCTCTTTCCTATCCCCATCCAACCTCCCTAGTACCACCCAAGTCCCCTCCCAATCCCTCCAGAACCCCAAACCCCCTCCCAGTTGACACCCATCTTCCAATGATCCCCCAAACCTTTTCCCAGTCCCACCAGCACTCACCAACATCATTGCCAGTAGATTGAAGCACACTCAACTCTCATCCCAGCCCCGTATTTACATCCCCAACCTGCTTCCAGCCCCTCCAGCTCCATCAGACTCCCTTCCAGTTACATCAAGCACCACCAGGATGTTCCCTTTCAGAAGCCACCAGGAAACCCTTAACTGCATCCCAGGCTTCCCAGCATCCTCCAAAACTCTTCTCCGCTCTCCTAGGCCATCCAAACCCTTCTCCCAGATACCCTTTGCCTCCCCCAAACTCCCTCCCAATTAATCCCAGCTACCACCAACTCCGCTCTCAGCCCCCCCAGTGCCTCCCCCGCTGCGGGGGCCGGGCCGTACCCCAGTGCCGCCTCAGGGGCTGCTCCAGGCTGACGTGCTCCACCTGGCAGCTGTAGCTGAGCCCGCGCTGGGGCGGCGTTTCCAGCAGCACCAGCAGCTGGTAGGTCCAGTCCCCGTTGGGGACCACGTCGGTGGCCACCACGTGCTCCGACAGCTCCTGCTCGCCCTGGAACCACCTCACCTGGATGGCAGCAGGGTAGAAATCCATCACGGAGCAGAGCAGGCGGCCAGGGCCGGGCTGGGAGCTCGAGGGGGGCACCAGCGAGATGGACACGCTGGGGGGCACTGGGAGAGTGTGGAGAGACACTGGGATAAAATGCGGGTAAAATGGGAGACACGGGGAAGGACTCGGGTAACACTAAGAGGGTCTGGGAGGGGGTTGGAGAATCCTGGGGAGGGCACTGGGAGAGAGGATGGAAGTCTGAGAGTGGACCGAGAAGGACTGGGAATGGAATGGGAATGAACTGAGAAGGACTGGGAATGAAGTGCCTGGCACTGGGGGGGATTTCTGTGGCACTGGGATGAACTGGGAATGGCGTGCGGGGCGCTGGGAGGCCGAGTCCAGCGCGGGGCACTGGGGGCTGCGGGTCTGCCTGGCAACTGATGAGTCATCAGAGAGCCGCGCTCTGATTGGCTGGAGCAGCTCCACGGGCCGTCGAGATGGACACGCGGGGGGCGCTGGGAGAGTCTGGAATGGACTGGGAATAGACTGGGATGGACTGGGAGAGATAGGGAGAGCTCCGGGACACTGCGGGGTGGGCAAGAGCCCACGGGAATGGGCACAGGAAGGGCTGACATGTCTGGGGTTATTCCCAGGGAGGTTTGAGGGGCTCCAGGGTCATTGGCAGGGCAGGTCCGAAGGGACACGCTCTGCCCCACGCTCACCTCTGCGCTCCACGAGGAACGGGGTTGACAACTCGTAGTTGTGTCGGCAGTGCCTGTCCACCGCATCCCGTCGGTGCTCCATCCATTCCGGGTCGCTGTTCCAGTACCTGGCAACCTCCTCGCCATATGGGGTGTCCCCCACAAAGTGCCCCACGTCGCTGTCGAAGTGCACGTACTGCTGCCGGTTGTAGATGAACCTCTTCACGAACCTCACCCGCTCGGTGCCGTTAATGAAGTGACACTCGGACTTAACCATCTCCTGGAACACCCCTATGTGTGCAGGACACAGGTCAGAGGGTGCCCCTCCAGCAGCCCCCAGCACCCCACAGCAAACCAAGATCTCAGAGTCAACCCCGGATCCACACTCTGCACCCCGTGTGCCCCACGTGCCACCCCTTGTAGGCCCTTTGTTCCCGCGGCCCCTCTTCCTCTTTCCCACTCTTCTCCGTATTTTCCTCCCCCTTTTTCATAACTCCTCGGTCGCCAGCAAGACTCCCCACATCAATTTGAGGGTCCCACCTCCCCCTTTTACCTCCACTCCCCACCGTTCCCACCTTCCCTTCCCTTCCCGCCCCCCGCTTACCTGAGAGTTCCGCGCCCGCAGCCGGGGGGGCTCCCAGCACCACCAGTGCCACCAGCAGGGCCCCAGCTGCGGCCCGTCGCCCCATGGCCAGGGCCGGGCAAGCTCTGGCACCTTCCCCCTGCCCAAATTCCCCTCGCGGTGGAGTCTGGGGGCGAGGCGGAGCCAGGTGAGGAGCTCTGGGCGCTGTGGGACCGCCCGGCGACCGGGGAGTCGTCAGCGCGGCGCGCTCTGATTAGCTCTCTGAATGGCTGAGGAGAGGCCCTGGAGCTGGAAGAAAACTCGGGAGAGATCCCGCTCAGAGAACCGGCACGGGCGCAACAGACCCAGCTTGGGCGC